CCAGACCACCTGAAGCTTGTCCTATAGCCTTGACAAGCTCCCCCTTCACTGCAAGCAGCCAGAAGATGTCAGCCCTTTCTGCCAAACTGCAGGTACACTTTTTATGAGGGATACATCTCTGCCAGTGTAGGCTGTTCTTTCCAAACCTAGCAGCATGCTTGGGCAGGCAGCATGCAAGGGGAAGGAGGAAAAGAAAGCAGTTCAAGACCCTGTGATACACAGCACTCAGCTGCTAATACCACCCATGCAGAAAAATAAACCAGTGCTCATCTCAGACATTTGCTGGGTGTGTATTCAGGGTGTACATATGGACACACACATATGTGTGGAGACAAGCAAGTACTATCAGCTATAGCTGGCTTTGTCGGTGGGTTCTGGAGTTTTCAATACATAACAGTAGGAAAAGTACAATATTATGATTCTGTTTTCTTGCTCCTTTTTGAAACATGTTTTAGTAGCAGTACTGTTCTGTAGCTTCTTTCAGAGGAATATCTCAAAGCCTTTCATGGATTCCACGCTGCTTTATACATTCTACACGAGACAAAGGCAGAAAGGGAAGAAATCCCTGCCTCCCCCATAAAAGGGATCTTCCTCCCTAGCCCAAGACCTTTAATCTAGTCTGCAGGAGCAAGGCAAGCCTGATGTCACAGAGCTGATTTTTTACAACCTACAACAAACCACATCTCTGTATAACCCTGTGTGCAAATCATGGAGTGAAACTCATGGTTCATCACGCTCTGGTCTCCCCTAGAGAAAGTGTTCCCGTTGTACATACAGACAATTGGAGCTTGATGCATCATCCTCAGTCAAGGAATGAGTCAGAGCAAGGCCAGGTGCAGGACAGAGGGGTGTGACAGTGCAAGTGGTGACCTGTAAGGTGAATTGAAATGAGTGAACTTCTAAGGTTTCAAAAACTTCCTCAGCCGAGGGGAGCGTGTAACTGCATCTGTTTGTTGTGCAGTTCTGTTACTGTGTGGTGTTGCGTAGGTCAGGTATGGACAAATGTGCCCTAACTTGCAGTCTGAGCCAGTAAGGAGGGTGTAATGCTTTCTGTGTCAGCAGTAGCACTGACCCAGGCTGAGTAAAGGTAGAGTGGATGCTGCATTGCTTGGCGAAGCTGATGCTTGTGACTAGAAGATGGCTCTAGGGATGCTGCTATTATTATGGGCAGCAAAAGCATGTAGTTCTCTTGGGAGTTTGAAGCATAATGGAGTTTTTTCTTTGAGTAGGACCAGAATACAAACTCCAGAGCTGAATGTAGCCTATTCCTTTAGTCCTACTATTGTAGCTTTACAATTGCAGTATAAATAGTAAAGTTAAAAGCCAGGTATGCTGGGTCTGCAACCCCTGTGCTGTCTGCCCCCAAACCCAAAGACAGACTGGATGCTGGGCTGTGGCATACCGTGGATAAGAGCCTGTGGAGCTTATTGTCCCATTTAGCTCTGTTTGAGTGATGGGACACTCAGGCCAGCTTGATATTCAAGTCACTAATTTGGATTCCTATTAAGGGTAATCTGTCAGAGCATTTGTCTAACTGTGCTGAGCTGTCAGCGAGCTGCCTGTCAGTCTAACCCTTCCTTTTTTAAACAGTCCAAATGTTCAGGGGTTTGGGGGTGGGGGGTTTTGTTTGCTTCTTTATTTAATGAAGCAGCGTTTCCAGCCCATTTAGGGCTGTGCAGGTGATAGGCAGCACTTGCAATGGCTGAAATCGGGCTTGTGATGAGGTCTTAGAGGTGCGTCTCAACCTTTTCTCTTTGCATGATGGCCTCCCTGAAGGCACACCAGTGTGTGGTTAACTCTTGCTGCTTTGAGTCAGTTTTGACAGTGCTTGTTCCCAGAATGGGTTTGGTGCCAGCCAGGATTCTCCTGCACAATGCTGAGTGACAAGCTGGCAGTCAGCACATGGATATTGGTGGTCTGGATATAGAACATGTCATTCTGAGGGCAAAACACCTGAATGCCAGCACTGACCCAGGCACAGTGGGTGATTTGAGCAACCTCGTCTAGAGGAAGGTGTCCCTGCCTGTGGCAGGGGCTTGGAACTAGATAAGCTTTATGGTCCCTTCCAACCCAAACCAGTCTGTGATTCTGTTCTGATCTGAAGGGAGTGATTTTAGCATGGTGACAATTTTAGGAGTGTTGGATATTAGGGCTACAGTTTCTAATCTTGTGATTCCCATCTGCTGATTTGAACTGGTCTGCCTGGAGTCATCCAGTTTTCTTCCACCTTTGCGTTTGTCCTGGTTCCAGTTGGGACAGAGTTAATTTTCTCCCTAGTAGCTGGTACAGTGCTGTGATTTGGCTTTAGTCTGAGAATAACATTGATAACGCTCTGATGTTGTAGTTGTTGCTAAGTAGTGCTTACCCTAAGTCAAGGACTTTCCAGTTTCCCATGCTCTGCCAGCGAGGAGGGGCACAAGAAGCTGGGAGGGAGCACAGCCAGGATGGCTGACCTGAACTAGCCACAGGGATATTCTGTACCATATAACCTCATGCTCAGTATAGAAACTAGAGGGAGTTGGTTGGGAGCTGCTGATTCTGGATGGGATGGGCATCGGTGTGCAACTGCACTGTGCATCACTTGGTTTTGGGGGTTTTACTCCTCTCTCTTTCATTACAATTATATATATATATATATTATTTTTTTTTACTTTATTTCAATTATTTAACTGTTCTTATCTCAACCTGCAGTTTTTACTTCTTTTGATTCTCCTTCCCATCATACCTGGGGAGCAGGGGGGGAATCAAGCAAGTGGCATTAGTTGCCAGCTGGGGTTAAACTCTGAGAGTTCCTAAGCAAAACCACAGCCTATTTGAAGGGCACAAGAGCTACAGAAGCACTGAATCCTCTGAAGGATTTCAGATTTCACAAGGAACAGTAAGGTGAAACTGGGCAACCCTACAGAGGCGAAGAAAAGCATGGCATTTTCATGACCTAGGTCATGGAAGAGCAGCAGGAAGGTGCAGCAATGAGAGCTCACCTAATTTAGCCATACACAGCGTGACTGACTGAACAGCACATTCCAGAACTAACTGAATTAAAAAGAAAAACATCCACCAAAGTAGCTGAAACCAGGAAAGCAATTTTCTGTTCTTAACTTCTGTACCTAAGCATCACCTTAGAATATAAAGTACCAGTCAATACAGGTCTTAAAAGCAGGCCCAGGGAGATTATTGTTGTGATTTGTATAATCAGCTCAGGAACGTGGTGTTCCCCAAAAGCAACTTTAGGTAATGTCAAGGGAAGCTGTGGTTTTCTTTGTGTCGTTCAAGAGACAAAAGAATGTCCTGTGCCAGTGAAGAGCACAGTTTCTGTGCCAGACGTTCACTGAAGTATAACCTTGCCTTTAAAGTGGACGTTTGAAACCATGCCTTCAGTACCCTGCCATAGCTTCATGCTATCTGCAGTAGAAGGACCTGGTAAAAAAGATGGAGAAAACCAGGGGACAAACTTATGGCTGAGTTCCCTGAGCATGTGAGCTGCTGGTTTGTACCTGTGCCCAGGATTTCCATCATCCTGTCACTAAAACTTTGCTGTATGTTTGAGAGCCATCATCAGTGTTTAAGAAGCATTTGAGCTGTATATCCAAATACCAGTGGCTGCTGTTGGACACCTACTATGCACCATTTGCACTGGATAAAGAGTGTTTGTGTGGGGAGCTGAAGAGATGTGCTTAACTCAGAAATAGCTCTCTTCCTTGGAAAGCTTAAGGTCTGAATCACACTGTGTTGGCTCAGTTTTTAGCAGACAAGCTCTCACATATGCCTCCCTGTAGGCGAAGAGTCGTCACTGGCATCAGGATTAGCAGCCAGGTTCTTTCCCTTTGAAAAGTAGAGAATAATGCTACTGAAAGCTAAGGCTGACTTTAAACGTGGTCAGGGCAGGATGGGGGGGAAAAATAACTTATTTTGCTCAAGATCCTTGAGGCATTAACCACTCTGCTGCTGCCTGTGAAGCTGAGAAGATGACAGCCAGCCCAAACATATCCACGGCTGATGTTGCCCTGAGGCAACTGCAAATACTAGTGACAGGGACAAACAGGAACACCAGAGGAAAGTGTGGAAACCTGGGAGGGAACAAGGCTGCTGTTGAGCTGAGGTACTTGGAACTGCAAGCACAAGAGAGACGATACCAGCTTAAGGGCCACTGGTGAACTTGGAGCTGTCGGCCGAGTCCACCTGGTAACAACCACAGGAACAGAACTCCAAATACAGGCAGACACTTAGTTTTTTCTGGAACATGGTGTAAGTTGATGCCTAGTCCTTAACTACAACACCACTGCTGTTTCCCAGCAGTCCAAAGGAAGTCTTGGGGGAAAAGCGGGTGAGGGAACTGGTGCAAAGTGTTTGTAGTTGGCACAAGAAACAAATTATAGATAGCAATTTTAAACCACCTCAGAGACGCAGGAGTTTGGGGGATCTACAGTTTTGGACCCAGTGGCTCACAACTGCAGTAACGTTAATTTTCAAGCCTCACCTCCAGGTTCAGGACTCAAGCACTGCCACAGTGGATTGAGAGTTCCTGAACTAACTGGTCGCTGACAGTGAGTCCAGGGAATGACCTTGCAGCAGGCAGCTCATGGTACCTCTCTCGGAGCCGTGCCAATATAAACGGCACTGGCATCTCTGAATGCTGCTGAAACCATTTTGTGACATTCTTATGTGGGCTTTTTGTACTGCTCTGCACCAAAACTTTGGGGTGAGTGGAACAGAAGAGAGTCCTCCCTTCTTGTTCCATTACATGGGCATCTTCACAACGTAGCCTTGGGATTATCTATATACGGATATATAGAGAATATGGGCAACTCATAGCTTTTGCCTACATCTCTGTCCATTAGCATCAGCGATACAGATACTTAACCGACTGAAATCTTGTCTTCCCCCCCAGCCACACCCATATTAAACAGTAAAAAAACACTGCTTTAGAAAAAATACCCAGTAGCAGTGAATTTTCTGGCTACGTCTGGAAGTGAATTGTAAGAGGAGTGAGGGTAGAACACTTGGCATTTGGATATTTTAATGAATATTCCCAAATAAGACAAGCAAAACATTTACTTGTAGACTCAAAGCTTCTCACAGCATCAGTAAAGCTCCTGACACAGAGCCCGACGCAGTATTTGTGTAACATGGAAATTAACAGCAGCAGCAGCAGCAGTGCTGCAGGCTCAGAGCCTACCCTGCGAGCAACAAAATGGCCAGAGGTGCTGTTGTGTTCATCCAGATCCCTTCACCATCTGCGGGTGGGGAGATAGGAGGATGCCAGTATCCCTGCCACTTCAGGTATGGTTGTGAACTTTACCATCCATATTAAATGAATGTTTCTAACCGTATTCAAGCTTCTGCCTTCCTCAGCTCAACTCCATAAAGCACAGACAGGAGCCAACAGCAAAATCGGGCTGCGTCACAGATGTAACATGACCATCGGCAAAACAAGTGCAGCAGGAGATCATGGCTGTCGCGTCATTCAGAGAGCCTTCCCTCGATAGCAACGAAGAAGAAGATGGTAATGCTTTTAAATTTATGTCATGAGCATTTGCAATCCATAACTTCCTTAACCAAATTTGCAGTCCTTCAACAATCAAAATGCCCACGAAAATTGCACGTATTTTGCCAACAGCCCCAGCGCGTTAAACACTGCGTCATTATGCCGCACTAAGGCAGAGAGGTAGAAGAAACCCCACTTTGCAAAGGAAGGAAACCAAACTCTAGAAGAAATGAATCAGCTTACACAATGTCACACACACACAAGTGTCAGAGGGAGGAAGAAATCACAGCTTGCCCAAGTCCTCTTGCATCAATACGCAGAAAACCATTATGGAGCAGTTAGCCACGTACAGCAACACCACCGTCCCCATGCACAAAATCGCTACTGTCCTACAGAAATATGCCATGTCCCCTTCTTAGCCTTGTTTCTTGCCAGTCCCACAGATTTACCTGCTGACAGTAACCTCAATTCCTGAGTAATGAGATTTACAGCTGAAGTTTAACATTGAAATAACTCCTCTTTTATCTCTGTCTTCTTACCCTCCCCGCAGTCAGACGCAATTAAACTAGCGCTGTGGCAGAAAGATGGTAGCAAAAGAAATCAAACCAAATGCAATCCCAGCGCTGCACACAGATACTCAAAAAGTACATATATGCCCAAACAAGTGTACAGGCTGCGAGTTTCACCTCGGTTCGAAGGACTGGGAAATGTCATAGAATGCCAGGTTGGAAGAGACAACAGCTTTGCAAATTAACTGGGTCCTTCCCCCCACAAGTGTGATGAGAAACTATGCAAAGGGTTCTCTGTACAGAGACAGACTCAACCCACCCATCTTCTGTGCCACAGAGCACTGTTTCTTAGTCCATCTCCTGGCTGTACAGATTTACCTCCATGACTGCCCTGTTCCTATCTTTGTGTGTATTTATGCCTGTCTGCCTTGTTGCAGGGACCACCGTTGTTGCTGCTATTCCTGTTGTTCCCCTGCTCTGCGGAACTGGCGCTGCAGGAGGCAAGGATGCTCCAAGGGAGCCAGCTAAAGCCAGCGAAGGCTCAGTGAGTCAGGAGGGGTTGTGACGACTGCAGTAAGAGACTGAAATTCCCTATGGAATCTGGCACAAAAAGGGGGAGGCAAGAAGGGTGGAGATGGGAATGAGGGGGGAAAAAGTGGGGAGTGGCACTTCATGTCTTGTTTTCTCTTTTCCTCCCTGCTACAAGCTCCGCATTGCTGTTGGGAATGGCGTCCTCCCGTCTATGGCACTGCGCAAAAGAGCGGAGCCGGGGATAAAACCGCAGTGCCTACGGCCTTTATGGCTTTTGTAACCAAAATTTGGTCAGGGTGGGTGTATGTGTGTAAATACAGCCCTTCTCTCTCTCCCTCTCACTCAGAGGACAGGCTACGCTGAAGTAATGGAGACGGCGGACGCAGCGTGTTTGAGCCGGTTCTGAACCCAGCAGTTGTTGCTAAACAACCGGACCTGACACTTGAGAGGTCAGCGAGTGAGTAATACAGATTAAATGCTTATGCTACCCTATCTTTAAACTCGTTTAAGCCTCAGTATGATGAAAGGCTCTGGAAAAATGTTCCCTGCCGCATGAGAAAGCAAAGTTACCACTCCACTGCATAATCAGGAGGCTTCCTCGGCCAGAAGGACCAAGCTCAAAGCTGGTTGTGTCCTCAGCACTTCCAGAGTTGCCATCTTCATTGCTGGTCACTTTAAGAAGAGAGGTGAAAAGATAGTATAGTAAACGGTTAAGAGAGAAGAATGTTCTCCCCTTCATTTCCTTATCCTCTCTCTGGAGCTGTTCTCTGCCCACAGCTCCCATCCATCCTTACCCAGTCCTTCCCGATCCTTCAGTTCCTGCTTTCTAACCTTATTATTTCTTTGGCAGACCTTTACAGACCCATCACTCAGGACTGTCTTCAGCTCTCCCTGATGTTACCGAGCCTGTGACAAACTTGCACTTGGGCAAACAAAAGCTGAGTTTGGGCAAGAGTCTTCTTCGCTTTGCTTTTTCCCACGACAGAATTTCCAGGCGCAGTCCCTGCCCTCAGCTGTTTACAGTCCTGCTCACACTAAACCACCTTAAAAGGGAGAAGGAAGAAAGCAAGCACGGAGAAAAGCCCCAAACCCCAGGACTTTCCCCTTCCCCGTGGTTTGCAGCTCTGACACGTCATCATCGCAACTGCACGGCAAAATGAAACCTCACCCGCAAAAGAGACACCCCTGGGAGCAAGGACCAGCACCCACTGCACCGAGGAGGTAACTGCTGCTGCCCTGCCTGCTGCCCCTGCCTGTGGGACACCCAGGATCCCGGCAGGAGCGGGCAGGTTGCTGCCGGCACTTTGAAGCAAGTGAAATCAACGTTGAGATTTGACACCCAGTTCTCGACCAATCAGAGAGAGCTTTTCACCTGCCATCACCTCCTCCACCAATCGGACGGTGCCTTTGGGCTGAGAGCCCTCCCCGGCCAATGGGGAGCCAGCTCTGCCACTTAGTTAATGATGCAGCAGTACAGGGAAGACTATCACATGTGAGCTGGAAGGCTGCCAACATGGAGACACGGAGAGAGCAAGGTAAACAACTTTCCAACGCCAAAATGATGACATTTAATCCCTAAACGCTAGCTTCCCGTCTCGACTCATCTTTAACCCCTTTCAGCTGGTGTGGAAGCGTCTGGAAGGCACCGTCTACCTGTTCCCCAGTGCTTTTAAAAACTGGACGACATGCCCTGCAATGATCACTGCGTCACCGTTTACCACTTTGCAAACTACGCAGTGACAAACCTCCGAGCTCTGAAACGCAGAGCGCCTGTTAACCCCTCTGCCAGAGCCCTGCCAACGTGCCAGCCTCTACGGAGCTGCTGGGGTGGAGGGGGGGGAGGAGGGGGGGGGGGGGGAAGAGATAAAAAGCTCAAGCAAAACATGAAAACAGCAGTCTTTGCAAAGTTGTCATCTCTCCCCCAGCACTACTACCCTCCTCTGCAGTACAGCAATGCCGGCAAGAGTGACATTAGTACAACCTGTGCCGTCGTTCCATTGAGAAAACAGCTCTGACGCAGAACAGAGCAATCATACCCAGCCAAAATAATAAGAAAGGCACTCTGGGAGCTGAACTCGGGGGCGCCGGGGGAAAGGGACGCCCTGCAAATAAATAAAATACGTACATGCAGCTCAAGCCCCATCCTGATCAAAGAGTACGTACGTGAGAAAGACGAACCGGACCGAAGAGCTCTGCCCGTGCACCATCTGCGCAGTCCTCAGCCCTCCGCTCGCTGTGTAGCGCCGCAGAATAGAAGGTTCCAGAAATTTCCTTTCCGTTAACCCTTTTGGTGTCTGCCCACTCTCCCTCCCCGTGGGATTAAGCGCGCCGGGTCTCCAGCATCGTCAATGGGCGAAGCCTCCTACGCCAAGCGAGCCCGAATGCGATCTCTAAAGGACACTGGATGGTGGCAGGAGCACAGTCCCTGGTGTTAGTGTTACTTCTCTTTTTGGAGCCCTCTCTGCCTCTCTTGCTGCCTCTCTCCCCTCTTGCTGCAGCAGGGCTGTTGCTGGTAAGACCTATCGACGGAGCTTGCTCTCTCACTCTCTCGCTGAGCTCTGTGACGCAGCTCTAAATTCTCCAGCCTGCTCCCTGTGTTATAAGAGCGGAACTGCAGCTTTCCAGGGAGCCCGTGCCAGCGGTGCCAGGGCCAGGCAAAGCGAGGGGAGCGTCGCTCCTGGACTCTGCACCTTTTTTTGGTAATTATTATGTTCCTCACCTCTGTTTCTCTGCTTCCTCCGAGGCTCGGAGCCTCGCATCTCCTTCTCTGCTTCTGAGTCATCCTTACTAGGTTAACTCTTTTAGGATTGGTAGTCAGCAAGTACAAATCTCGAACGAGCGCAGCTGAAACCACAGCCAACTTTGTGGTGGTTTCTGCTTTAAAAAAACCAAAGCAAATCTTCTTGGCTCTAAAAAACAAAAACACACACACGCGCGCTCGCACACACACGTTCCAGGAGAGAGTTGGTGCTTTTTGATTAACTGTTTCGGTGACAGGAACTGATACTGGACTTCCTAAAGAAAGGATTTTAGGCCTGTGCCTTGCAAATCCTCAGCAGGCACATACCCTGAAGCACAAGGCAACTGAAAAGGAACTGCTCCTGTGAATGAACACAGGTCTTTTGGGTATAAAAGCAGGAGGCTACTGCTGGACCCACAAGACCCTGCTATGCTGGGTGCAGGACGTTGAGCTGAATGGGGTTCTGCAGCTGGGCAGAAGGATTCTATAAGATAAGGTAGTCAAAGTGCTAAAAGGCTATATGCTCCTTTTAATCTGAACAGTATTAATAAGTGTTATCGCACACACAGATTCAAAATGCTCAGTGTAGGCAGGGGAACTAATAACTGTGTTCCTGGAGTCACCAGAATCCAATAATCTCTGTCAAAGTCCACAAGCAGTTTGTATTCAGCACAGCAGGCTTCACCCGGCACACTCTCTCTTTGCCTCTGCGCCCCAAGACCATCCCCCAGATTAACTCCGGTGCCTTCAGTCAGCCACAGCACCAGGCAGGGGAAGCAGAGCTCTGCTGTCTTGTAGCCTCAAAACCGGGAAATGTGGAGGAGGATCAGTGGTAGCTACAGCATTGGGAATCAAAGGGAAGCTAATGGAGAGCCAGCACCTTCTGAGGGAGTTCGTGCGTCGGTCTGGATATACAGAAGAACGAGGGAGGGAGCCAGCAGCCCATTTGAAAAACAGAATCAAGAGGCAGATCACTACTACATCTGCCATTTTAACTCTGGACTTCAGAGCTGGCTGTGAGCTCTGGGTTTTTCACTACAACCAAAGCTGAAGTAACCACTATTTTTTCTCTTTGCAGCATCTGAAGAGCCGGAACTATTTTGGGATTTGTCTGTACTACACTGAAAACGACACCTGTTACACACAGACACAAATGAGAAGAATTGCAAGCTCCTGCTTTTTCACATAGGATTCTACAATCAAAAAGATCCTGTGAGCTCAGGACCTGGGCAAGCAGCACAGGCTCCCTGTGTGGGATGGAGGGGATGACCCTTGTGAATTGAACAGGCAGGCACCGGTTCAAAAGATGGAAAAGATCTGTTGTAGCTGATGCAAGGGGAAATCAAACGCCCATGTGACCACAAGAAGTAGTGCTTGATCAACTAAATGCCACAGTACGAGGTTTCTTATGCAATCAAACCCACGGGACTTCAAGCCTTACACATACACTCTGTGGCCGAAGCTGCATTAACTACTTCAGTTAACGAACGTAAAACTGGAAGAGCTCTACGGCTACTTAAATGAGTCATCCAGCAGCGATCCTCACTAAAGTAGGGCAGTGTTTTCTGTGATGTTCAGCTGCCTGTGCTGGTTTCAGTTACCCCTGAGTTCTCTCAGAAGCTCCATCATGCAGGAGCAGTGCGGATTTCCCCTGTTCCCTGTTTTTCTCATTGTCATCCGGATAATTTACAACTTGCCAGTGTGGTGCAGGCCAGGCAGAGGCCATCTCACCGGACCCACGAGACCCTGTGAAGCTCTGAATGTGATTGTGTAGAGCACTGAAGCAAGATCAAAGGCTCAGAGGCTCAGAAATGGGACAGCTGACTGGTGCTTTTAACTCGCAGTGATTTTGTCAATCTTCTGGTATATTAAGAAAGTAAAATGGAGCTTTGATTTATTTCATGTTATGTGATTTTCATTGCTTTCAGGAGAAAGGCAGCATTTATTCTGTGGTGTACTTGCATTTGCAGATCACCAGCCATGGAACATTTCGACCTTTACCTGCGTGTAAGTATTTACTTCATGGTGGCACTCGGGCTCACAAGAAGTCTCAAAGCTGCACTGCGATGGGGAACGCTTGAGTGCATAACTGGGAAAGCTTGGCACAATAGGAAGCTTCAGCACTCAAGACTGAATGAGGCTGCAAAAAATAAAGGCATCTTCTCACACTGTTGGTCAGGATTTGGCATTTTCTGTGAGCTGGGATTCTATGGTAGAAATCTCAGCTGGTTTTCTGTTTGAAATGGGGCCCATGCTCATGTTTTGTTACTGGTTTGTGTTGTTTGATTGGGGTCAAACAACTCCTTTTAAAAGCAGGAGGCAGAACTTTGGTTTTCTAAGAACTGACCATACAGAAGCAAAGTCGCGGGCTAGGAAGCAAGCTTGGTAACTGGAAATTATCTCTGTCTGTGGTCGGAGGCAGGGAAGATCACTCCCACTAGTGAAAGTATCCAGTCCAGAGTGAGGAGTAACAGGAGCTGACTGAAACAGTGCTTGCAGTGCTGATTGAAATGAAAAAAGCTTGGATAGTGCTGGACAGCGTAACAAGATGTCATGACAAGGGATGTAGGGACAGGACGAGGGGAATGGCTTGAACCTGCCCCAGGGAACACTGAGATGGGATCTTAGGAAGCTCTTCCCTGTGAGGGTGCTGAGGCACTGGCACAGGGTGCCCAGAGAAGCTGTGGCTGCCCCATCCCTGGCAGTGCTCAAGGCCAGGTTGGACACAGGGGCTTGGAGCAAGCTGCTCCAGTGGAAGGCGGCCCTAGCAGGAGGGTGGAATTGGAACTGGATGAGCTTTAAGGTCCCTTCCAACCCAAACCCTTCCATAATTCTATGAACCCTGAGCCATTGCTACCACATCTGCTGTCAATTGACAGTTTCTGTGAGCATCATGGAAGGATCAGGGAGCAGAAGAAATGTGTGCTTGTCTGTGCTGTTTTCTGCTACAATGACCTTAATAGCAATAACATGTAGCCTGGCTTTGCAACAGTCTAACCCTCGTGTACATAATTATTGGTATTGTGGGTGATAAAATAACCTCTGAGGAAGGTCCTTGATCCTTTTAATGACGAAGGAAACCCTGGTGCTGCTGCCTGCACTTCCAGCTTCCTGCTGGTGCAGCCTTGGCTCAGCTTTCGGTTTAAATGCCATCGGCCACTCCTTCCTCTGACTGCAGGAAGCTGCGATTGTTAAAATCAGGGCATGTTCCTGTTTAACTAGAAGGCTGAGATCAAATAATGCAAAGGCCTTGACTATGCCAAACAAATTCCTGCCCAACTTAGCAAGCCCATGCAGCTGTAAATCTATAATCCCTCCACCTCAGCAGCCACGTAAGTGATGTCTTGGGACATTATCTCTGTGATGCATGGAAGGAGCAAAGAATGGGGCAGAGGTGGACAGGGGAATGTGGAAGTTAATGTCCCTTAGCACAGTGTTTTTCAGTTTACCAACCAGTCGTCCTGACAGTGGCTTTAAAATGCAAAATAGAATGTTTTCCAACTGCTGATGTGGGATAACTCTTTTTCTAAATGTGAAAGTTGTCAGAGCTCCCTCACAAAACACGACCTCAGCAAAATGATGGTTTCCAACAGAAATCTATCACAGAATTCCCAGCCAGCTCCATTCAAGGAATACCAGCAGAAACAGGCCCATCTGCCAGGGTTGGAACTGGATGAGCTTAAAGCTCATCCAGTCCCTTCCAACCCAAACCAGTCTGGGATTCTGTGAATTGGATGGAACATCTGGGGTTGAGATCAAAAGGTGGCAAAGCTGGAGGTGTGGGTTCCTTCCTGGGAACTGTTGGGGATGTGCTGGCATCAGGTAGTCATGTTTGCCTTCTCTGTGCGAAGCCAGCCCACACAACAAAGCAGGTGCTGGAGTGGAAGCTGCAGGTGAAAGCCTTCCCCTCCCTTTGAAAACCTGGCTTCCTGGAATTTACCCTGTGAAGTCTAAGAAAATCCCAGCTGGAAAAGCCAAGATCGTTTTCAAAGAGGTGGCACCACATTAACATCCAAGCTGCTTCAAAGCAGAGCTAATGCCCTGTGTAGAAGCTGGGTTCACGGTATTTAGCATCCTCCAACACAGCTCTGCCCACGGTCTCGCAGCATTCCTGGTCTGTGTGGTGCCCGAAACGCTGCCCGGTGGTGGAAGAAGGAATGGGGCAGCGGGGCTCCCAGAGCTGCAGGTTTTGCTCAGTTCCAAATCTAAGGAATCAACAGCACTGAGACAAAAGTAATTATTTCAGCTATTAGCTGCTAAGAATAGAGCCGGCGGGGGTGCTGTGTGCAGCTGAGGTGTGCTGACAGCGCAGCCGGAGGTGCTGGGATTGCAGTGGGAGCACGGAAATAGCCCTTCAGAGCTTCGTGAGTCACTGAAATACACGGGGGGACAGGTGGAGTGTGGAGTAAAATACACCCTGCCCTTCTACACACAGCACAGAGCACGCCCTTGGGCTGACTGCTGGATTTTCAGGGGCGAGAGTGGCACTTTCTGCAGAGCCTGGTTTTCCCGATGGAGAGCATCTTCCCGGTCCCAGCGTGGTTGGATCACCTTGCCATCAGAGAGGGTGGCAAGGACAACTTCACATGGAGCTCATGCCCACACAGGTACCATCCCCATGCCCAGAGCTCCTTCCCCTACCCAGTGCCCGGCCCATCTCACATGGGGCTGGATATTTGCAAAGGCCAAACATTACCCGGTGTGGGGAGTGCAGCGAGACGGAGGAATCCATTGATCTCTATCCAAGTGTGTTTCGTGGTGTTGTCCTAACTGCTAGTCTTCCTTGAAGTTCCCTTTACA